CTTCAAGTGCCCTATTAAAATGTGAAACCGGGGGCAGTGGCTCAAGCCTGTAATCCCAGCACTTTGGGAAGCCAAGGTAGGCGGATCACTTGAGGTCAGGAGTTCGAGACCAGCCTGGCCAACATGGTGAAACCCCATCTTTACTAAAAATACAGAAATTAGCCAGGCATGGTGGTGTGCGCCTGTAATCCCAACTACTTGGGAGGCTGAGACAGGAGAATCACTTGAATCTCGGAGGCAGAGGTTGTAGTGAGCCAAGATCGTGCCACTGCACTCCAGCGTGGGTAACAGAGTGAGCCTCTGTCTCAAAATAAATAAATAAAAATAAAAAATAAAATATGAAACCAATCCCCTGTACTCACTAAAACTATTATTCTGCTGTTTTTTTCCCCCAATTTATCACTCCCTGATACATTGTGTATTTGTTTGTTTATATCAATTCACACTTTCCTGTAAGAATGTGGGCTCTTGGCTAGGTGCAGTAGCTGACGCCTGTAATCCCAGCACTTTGGGAGGCTGAAGTGGATAGATGACTTGAGGCTGGGAGTTCGAGACCGGCCTGGCCAACATGGTACATTTTAGTCTCTACTAAACATGCAAAAATTATCCAGGCATGGTCATGGGTGGCTATAATCCCAACTACTTGGGACGCTGAGGCAAGAGGATCGCTGGAACACTGGAGGCAGAGGTTGCAGTGGTGAGATTGCGCCACTGCCCTCTAGCCTGGGCGACAAAGTGAAATTCCATCTCAAAAAAAAAAACAAAAAAACAAAAAAAAAAAGAATGTGGCTTCTTCTGAAGGGCATTTATATCAGAAAAAAAAGAATGTGAGCTCTGCAAGAAATTTTTTCCTGTTCAGTTCTGTATCCATAGTACCTAGAAGAGCATCTGGCATACAGCAGGTGCTCTATGAGTAAATTAATGGCCCTGTGGTGCCTCTTCCTACCTAGACATGTATTCAGTATGTCAAGTAACCCATCTATACAGGGTGGGCAATTGTCCCAATTTCCCAGGACTGAGGTCGTTCCCAGAACTAGGCTTTCAGTGCTAAGACTGGGCACATTGGGTTTTGCTCCTAAGCAAAACGTGTTGGTCACCCTACCTCTAAGCCTGCATTTCGTCATCTATAAAAAAAATAGTTGGCTGGTCACAGTGGCTCACGCCTGTAATCCCAGAACTTTGGGAGGCTAAGGCAGGTGAATCACAAGGTCAGGAGTTCAAGACCAGCCTGGCCAACATGGTGAAACCCTGTCTCTACTAAAAATACAAAAAAATTAGCTGGGCGTAATGGCGGGCACCTGTAATCCCAGCTACTCGGGAGGCTGAGGCAGGAGAAGCAGTTGAACCCAGGAGGCGGAGGTTGCGGTGAGCCGTGATCTTGCCACTGCACTCCAGCCCAGGTGATAGTGAGACTCCGTCTCAAAATAAAATAAATAAATAAATAAATGTATACATACTATATACCTCCTTTTCATGATGGTTTAGGGGTACAGGACTCATATTTCCTTAAAAGTTAAGCTAATTCTGAAAGACTGTTTTTTTTTTATAATACAGAATCATGCTCTGTTGCCTAGGCTGGAGTTCAGTGGTACAACCTTGGCTCACTGAAACCTCCGCCTCCCGGGTTCAAGCAATTCTCCTGCCTCAGCCTCCGGAGTACCTGGGATTACAGGTGCATGCCACCTCGCCTGGCTAATTTTTGTATTTTCATTAGAGATGAGGTTTTGCCACGTTGGCCAGGCTGGTCTTGAACTCCTAACTTCAAGTGATCCACCCGCCTCGGCCTCCCAAAGTGTTGAAATTACAGGCGTGAGCCACTGCACCCGGCCTGAAACACTTTTTAAAGCTATCTTTTTTGCTTATTACGAATGTAATAAAATCTTCATTTTTTGAAATCCCAAAATGTGCAGAAGTGAATGCCATAGAAAGTGAAACCCCTGGTGACCAGGACTGGAGTGAAGGTCGTGGCGTCCAAGCCACACATTTCCCAGGAATAACAGCAGAGAGTGGACCCTTTGCAGCAGCTTCGTAGGGTTTAGATTTGCCATGTCCCCCCAAATAAGGTCACACATCCAATGGCAGGGGCACACAAGAGAGCCCATCACCATTCCCCTTTGATTATTAAACACTTAAATGACATTACAAGGGCAATAATTCTATTTTCACTCTGAGAAATTACTGGAACCCCTCCAAACAAAAGCTTTGTGAGCCTGCCTTGCCCTAGAAAGTCCAAAGTGGAGTCAAAACACTGCCTTCCAGAAGTCCTGCCTCAGAACAGCCTCTGTTGCAAAACGTGTCACCACAATTGCAAAATATCCTGCTTTAGACCAGAAAGTATCGTTCCCTGCCCAATTCTGTCATGGGGTTTTGGTCTGAGTTCCGAGGAGTTTTCTGACCAGTCAAGATGGGATCACACAGCACCCACCGCATCACTGCACAGTCTCATCCTTTCTCCACCTGGTTGTGGGAGACTGCCTGGGAGGTGCTGGGTTGCCACTGTCCAGAATCAGGGACAGGTGCTGGCCCCAGTGATACCCTAGTCAACACCCTTCTTCTGGCTCAGCCTAAAAATTCCAAAAATCTGTCGTCTGCACCAACTATAAAAGCTGGAAGGAGCATCTTAAGGTCTTGTTTTTTTGTTTGATTTTTTTTTTTTTTTTTTTTTTTTAGATAGGGTGTCTTGCTCTGTCACCCAGGCTGGAGAGCAGTGGTGCAATCACAGCTCATTGCAGTCTCAACCTAGGCTCAAGCAATCTTCCTGCCTCAGCCTCCTGAGTAGCAGGGACCACCAGTGTGTGCCACCACACCCAGCTAATAATTTTTCTATTTCTTGTAAAGGCAGGGTCTCCTTATGTTGCCCAGGCTAATGTCGAACTCCTGGGCTTAAGTAATCCTCCTGTCTCAGCCTCCCAAGGGCTGGGATTGCAGGTGTGAGCCACTACACCCAGCCCAATTCACCCACTTTTTAGGGAAGATGTTGGGCTCAGAAAGATCTAGTGAACTGCATGTTTGTTGTCTGCTATGAAAATAAAGCAAAAGCACCAAATACTCTGTGAAACAGAAAACAGGTGGACCAGCTGGATAGTAAGTAAAATTCAACCAATCAGAACTCATCAAAGCCTTGAACCCCTGGCTGGGCACACACAGAGGCGCTCACACCCAGAGATGAGTGTTCAGCTAGGCATCACAATGTTGTGACTGACCTGTGGAAGTGACCCATCCTGGACCTCAGTGGTCAGCTGGAAATGTGACATCCATGGGTAGTCATGAATAGTAAAATCACAAATTATTGTCATGCAGGAGACGATGTTGTGAAGTGGTTTGACGTTGGGATCCTGGCTCTGGGCAAGTCACTAAGCTACAGATTCCTGGCTGCAGAGGAGGACGATCAATGCAGTCCTGCAGGGTACAGTCCTAGAGATTCTAGGAGGTAGTGTTTATAAAGCAAGTGGTGGCTGGTGCAGAGGAAGTGCTGGTGAAGGGTAAATTGCACTATTAACAAAACTTCTGGACAGGCACAGTGGCCAGATTACAGGGATTACACACCTGTAATCCCAGCACTTTGGGAGGCCAAAGCGAGTGGATCGCTTGAGCTCAGGAGTTCAAGACCAGCCTGTGCAACATAGTGAGACCCTGTCTCTATAAAAAAATACAAAAATTACCCGGATGTGGTGGCATGCAGCTGTAGTCCCAGCGACTTGGGAGGCTGAGGTTGGAGGGTTGCTCAAGCCCAGGAGGCAGAAGTTGCATTGAGCCAAGATCCGGCCACTGCACTGCAGCCTGAGTGACTGAGCAAGACCCTATCTAAAAACAAAAATTTTAAAAATTAGGGTATGCAAGTAATTTTTTATTTATTTATTTATTTTTTGAGACAAAGTCCCGCTCTGTCACCCAGGCTGGAGTACAATGGCACAATCTCGGCTCACTGCAACATCCGCCTCCCGCGTTTAAGCGATTCTCCTGCCTCAGCCTCCCGAGTAGCTGGGAATACAGGCGCGTGCCACCATGCCTGGCTAATTTTTGTATTTTTACTAGAGATGGGGTTTTACCATGTTGGCCAGGCTGGTCTTGAACTCCCAACCTGAGGTGATCCACTCACCTTGGCCTCCCAAAGTGCTGGGATTACAGGCGTGAGCCACCACGCCCAGCCCCCGACATGTAACTTCTGTTAGCTTCAAAGCCACCTCTGGGGCCCTGCACCAGACTATGAGCTGAAGGACACCCGTGCCTTTTCACCCCTGTAGCTCCAGCATCCTGGCACACTGTCTAGAATGTTCAGTGAATGTGCACGGAAGGGCATTCTGGCTCCAGGGAGCGAGAACTGAGTCAGCTCTGGGAACAGATGAGTCAGGCTGGTGGTTGAGGCATTGCTTTTCAAGCCCTTCATGTGGCTGGAAGAACCAGACAACTGGAACTGGATCAACAGGGGTGATGGCGTGGCAAGAGTTATCCCCCGGCAGTGCCCTTATGGCCTCACTTGCCTTCTTGGGCCAGGAAAGGCAAAGCTCACGGGGCTGTATTCACTGCCCACCCCTTCCCCCATCCCATGCCATTGGCTCTGGAGGGTCTGTGAAACCCCGAGTCTGGGGGAGAACAGCTGACCAGCAGGGCTGGCCCTCAGCATAGTCCTCTCTGTTCCCATTGACCCGCTCTGCCAGCCCCAGATCCTGGCAGGAAGGGAGATTGGAGGGGTTGTCTGGAATCCAATCCCAGACCTTCCCTTGCAGACTTGCCCACCTATCTGTGGTCTAGTGTGGAGATGAGGTGCAGGGTTTGGGAGGGGTGTGGGGACACATGTCTGCCAAGGCACTGAGCCCTCCCAGCTGGAAAATCCTCTGAACCTGTGAGAAGAGAACACAGCCAGCATGGACACACCCTTACCCTTAGTCTCAGTTCCCACCAAGACACAGAGCATTTCCTGTGCCTTTTCCGCTATTTCACAACCTGCCTGTTCTTGCTCACCAAGGTAGAGGCTTCTTCTCCTGCCAGAAGCCAGACAGCTGGCTCCAGCCTCTCCTGTTCAGCGCCATGGCCAAGACCCCTAGTGACCATCTGCTGTCCACCCTGGAGGAGCTGGTGCCCTATGACTTTGACAAGTTCAAGTTCAAGCTGCAGAACACCAGTGTGGAGAAGGAGCACTCCAGGATCCCCCGGAGTCAGATCCAGAGAGCCAAGCCAGTGAAGATGGCCAGTCTGCTGGTCACCTACTACGGGGAAGAGTACGCTGTGCGGCTGACCCTGCAGGTCCTGCGGGCCATCAACCAGCGCCTGCTGGCTGAGGAGCTCCACAGGGCAGCCGTTCAGGGTAAGCGGGCCCAGGCTGCCTCCTCACCCAGCGCTGAGGGCTGGTTGCTTTGTGGGAAAAGGGACCAGGAGCTCAGAGCAGCTCACTCTGACTTGGGGGTCAGGAGTCTCAGGTCTACCAAGATCCAGGTGACTTTAGCTCAGGAACGTCCCTTCCTTCACTCTGGCTTTTGGCACTGGGTTAGTAAACTTCCTTAAGGCTCCCAATGGGTTTTAAAGAAGCAGGTCAGGGTCAGAAAAGGCAGGAGCTGGAGCACCTGTTCTTTGAGACTCCTTCACTTCATTTATGATTAATACTCATGTCAGACAAACATCTCTAAGTTAGCAAAAAGGGATTGCTATGCAATCATATGAACGGGGTTGGTATAGAATCTTCTCAGTGCTGTTCACCATTTTGGCCAGGCTGGTCTCAAACTCCTGACCTCAAGTGATCCTCCCGCCTCAGCCTCCCAAAGTGCTGGGATTTCAGGCATAGACCACCGTGCCTGGCTTATTTTTATTTTTGAAACGTATAATCTGGGTTTTGCTGACCTGTGTAAGATCTTATTTGAAACAGTTGTCCTGCTTACAACGTTTGAAAAGTACTATTTGAGAAATACATGGTGGCTCACATTTATCATCTCAGCACTCTGGGAGGCTAAAGTGGGTAGATTGCTAGAGCTCAGGAGTTCGAGACCAGCCTGGCCAACATGGTGAAACCCTGTCTCTACCAAAAATACAAAAAAATGAGCCAGGCGTGGTGGCACACACCTATATTCTCAGCTATTGAAAAAAAAAGAAAACAGTCTGATGTGAGAGGATCGCTTGAGCCTGGGAGGCAGAGGTTGCAGTGAGCCGAGATCACATCAGGGCCACAGAGCAAGATCCGGTCTCAAGAAATAAGAGAGAGAGAAATATATAGCAACATCAAGCATGTTCTTACTGAATGGTAATTGACTGCCATTGTCTAGGAAGTCCTGAACTTTTGTTTTTGAGACGGAGTCTCACTTTGTCACTCAGGCTGGAGAGCAGTGGCGCAATCTCAGCTCACTGCAACCTCCACATCCCAGGCTCAAGCGATTCTCATGCCTCAGCCTCCAGAGTAGCTGGGACTACAGGTGCACACCACTACGTCTGGCTGTTTCGTATTTTTAGTAGGAACGTGATTTTGCCATGTTGGCCAGGCTGGTCTCGAACTCCTGACCTCAAATGATCCTCCCAACTTGGCCTCCCGGGAAGCTAGGATTACAGGCATATGCCACCACGCTCAGCTTATTTTTGTATTTTTAGTAGAGACAGGGTTTCACCCTGCTGGTCTTGAACTCCTGACCTCAGGTGATCCTCCCGCCTCAACCTCCCAGAGTGCTGGGAATACAGGCATGAGCTACCGTGCCCGGCCCGTTTTTTCCTCCATTTCTAAACTTTAATTTCCATGGGGATTCTCTCTCCTCTCCCCTGAATCTTGGGCCCTAAACGCGGGACAGCTTCATGACTTTGCAGCTGGTTGTCTTTCCAGAATATTCCACACAAGAAAATGGCACAGACGATTCCGCAGCGTCCAGCTCCCTGGAGGAGAACAAGCCCGGGAGCCTGAAGACTCCAGACCACCCCGAGGGGAAGGAGGGAAAGGAGGGGAAGGAGGGGAAGGAGGGGAAGGAGGGGAAGGAGGGGAAGGAGGGAAAGGAGCGCCCTCGGTCGTGCGGGGACTGGGCTGCCAGCCTGCAGGCCGGGACGGGGCTGTCAAGGAAGCCCTCGAGCAAACGCAGAGAGAAGGCCTCGGAGAGCCCGGACGCGCAGGGCAAGCCTCCCACCGGAGGGAGAAGCCCCGGCCCCAGCCCCTGCAAGGCGGCCGAGCGCCCCCTGCGCAAGAACACCAGCTCCTCGGGCGCGCCGGGGTGGAAGGAGTGCAGGCCCTTCGAAGTGGAGCAGCCCTCGGGAAAGAAGCGGCCTAAAAGCCTTGAGCTCACCATTTCCACAGGGCAGAAGGCGCCCCCAAATCCAGAAACTCTCCTGACTGTAGAGGAAACGACAGCTGCGAATCCGGACTCGGCAACAGGCGCTCAGGCAAGGCCCACTCCGGATGGAGGGGCGTCTGCGGACCTGGAGAAAGGCCCTGGGAATCCAGAACATTCGGTCACCGGTAAATTGTGTTTTTTCCTACTTTATATCGGCTGCAAAGAAAGAACAGCTGGCCGGGCACGATAGCTCACGCCTGTAATCCCGGCACTTTGGGAGGCCAGGGCTGGAGGATTGCTGAGGCCAAGAGTTTGAGACCAGTCTGGTGAACATAGTGAGACCCCCGCCATGTCTATAAATAAAATTTAAAAAATAAAAACCCAAAGGTTAGACAGGGCGCCATAGCTCACGCCTGTAATCCCAGAGCTTTGAGAGGCCTGCACGGGAGGATCTCTTGACCCCAGGAGTTCCATACTAGCCTAGGCAACACAGTGAGACCCCATCTCTACAAAAAATACAATAGTAGCACATGCCTGTAGTCCCAGCTGCTCGGGCTCACTTGAGCAGGGGGAGTTCCAGGCTACAGTGAGCTGAGATCATGCCAGTGCACTCCAGCCTGAGCAACCTAGCGAGATTCCACTTCTACAAAACCAAAAAAAAAAATTAGCTGGGTGTGGTGGCACACGCCTGTAATTCTAGCTACTCGAGAAGCTGAGGCAGGATGATTGCTTGAGCCAGGGAGTTCCAGGCCTCAGTGAGCTGAGGTTGTGCCACTGCACTCCAGCCTGGGCAACACAGCAAGACCCTGTCTCTTAAACATTTTGGGGGGGTAAAAAAAGAAAGAAAGAACGTCCAATTGAAAAAGGCAGTCAGGTTTTATTCAGTGGCCAAAGAATAGAGAAGGGGAGCTCGCCTCTGCAGGCATCTGCTTGCCAGGGATGGGAGGCAGGGGGATTTTAGAGTCCCAGGAGGGGAAGGGAGGTAGGTAAGCAGGTCCAGGGCAGGGTTCCATACATGAAGGCGCTGTCCCCAGCGTGCTTTTTCCTACATCGCATGGACATGAAACCCTGGCCATCTTCTTTTGGGGGAGGGGCCTTTAGCCTTACAATGATGTGTAAATGATCTAAAGGTAACTGGAAGTTACCTGTTCCAGTTTGCAATGGTTTTGCTCTGAACTTCCTCTGGTTTTTGGCAAGGGATCAGGCGGCTCCAGGCCATCTGGATTTTTTAAAGCAGCTGTCCCTATAGGTAAAGAGACCAGAGAAAAACTGTAAAAGAAAAATGCCACCAGTTTAGAGGGGATTGAGGTTGTCCAGGTGACAATTCCATGCTTGTGGTGGGGGCAGCATTCAGAAACACACCTTCTTTTTTTTTTTTTTTTGACACAGAGTCTCAGTCTGTCTCCCATGCTGGAGTGCAGTAGTGTGATCACAGCTTACTGCACTCTCAACCTTCTGGGCTCAAGCGATCCTCCCACCTCAGCCTTCCGAGTAGCTGGGACTATAGGTGCTCACCACCACACTGGTTTTTTTTT